TTGACAAAATTTCTTTCTATCAAAAGGTCACCCTGCTTTGGATCCACACATACGGTATACTGCTTCAATTTGATTATAACATCCCTGGAATTTTAAAAGAACTCAAAAAGAAGGAAAGCCAACAGCAGATAAAGAACAGGCAGGTTTGATTTATGTAAATAACAACACTACCACAAAAAACATTCATGAAAAAATACAAAATTGCAGCTATCCAAGAAACAAAACAAGAAGCAGAAAAAAGAGAAAAATGAAAAGTATGTGTATGTCACATATTAATCAAGCAAATTTATACAAACAGAAAAATTAAACAATTATGTTTCTATAACATTACAAAGTATAAAATCTTTATCATAAAACTGCTAGATTTAGGCACAAATTAAACAAGCTCTAGTTTAGGGCTCTAAGATCCCACCCCACGGTTTTTAGAAATCTATGTGGCATTTTATGTGTACTGTAATCTATGAAAGAGATCAGATCAGATAAATTATAAATATGTAATCAGTAAATCATTGGAAATTATTGCCTATTTTTCACTTTAAATACCTTGTTAAATAATTAGATCTCTCTTTCTCTGTATGTGTCAGCATTCCAGAAAAACCCCAACTCCAAGTAAAGACGCGGAAGCAAGCATTTTCCAAAGTTCTCTTTACTAGAATAGGCAAACTGGCACATCTGGGAAAACCTGAATCTGAAAAGCCTGGATTTTCCTTCAGTAAGTCAAAGCTTCCAAAACCATCCCCTTTTCCCCCCAGTCGGTCACATGCTCCAATCAATGTCCGCTCCATCTCGATCCAGCTCCCTGACCACTCCTTCTCCAGATGCTGGATCGCCCTGACCTTGACCGACAGGAAGAATGCTATTATGTCTACTAACAACCCCTTTCCTTAATCCCCCCTCCTACTTTCCCACAGACGAGAAGGTGGCAGAATTGGAGCTTTTGGCCTAATATGGCTTCCAAAGTTGACAGTATGTGGAGGTGGGGCGGGTATATGTTTTCAATTTTGGGGCAACCTGTTTTGGTACATAACCTTGGTGAGACTTTCTGGGTAACTTTTTAACAAGGGGCTTCAAACTTTAGATAGCTCAGAGCCTCACCCAGTCTAAGTCTGGCACTGTAAAAAGAGCATTTTTAGATCAGTAAATAAAATTACCTTTCCAAAATGGTTAAATTACATGTGCCATAAATTCAATTCTTAATATCAAGAATATTATTATTTCCTAATTACTCAAAGGAATTTTATCAGGGCTCCAAGCCTGCTAGAACCATAACTCCTCAAAAACAGTCAGATTCTAATATTTTGGGAGTCAGCTGAACACAATATTAAGATATTTAACATCAGAGCAATTCCACATCAATCTACTTTTGGACATTATTATTGTTTGTGAACAACCTTATCCATTTTGCAGAACCTGCTCAGCCTCTTGGTAGACAAAGAAGGCGGGTGGAGAATGTGCAGTGGAGGAAAACACATTTCTAAGCAGGGGGGCTTATCCAGCGTACTTTGTGGTGCTGATGAGGCTAAGATATTTGTCCTCTTCCACCTTTGCATCCTCCCAGTTCATAGGATCTCTGGAACTTTGGGTTCCCAGCCTCCTTGGGACATGTGATAGGAAGAAACAGGGAGCTTCACTGAGTCCTAGGGCTTAGACTTCCCTCCCTCCTGGGCAAGTGACTGGATTTTGTGCCTGGATTTCCTAAATCCCTTTCAGTAGAAACTTAGGCCTGAGACTGTGTGGGGACAATTCCTTCCTAGGCTAGGAGACCTTAGCAAGGGGGCTTTGGAGTTCCAGACTTCTTTATCAGGGGAGGTTAGAGGTACTGTATAGGAAAGGAAAGGAAATGACTGTGGAACTAGGCAGGTGAAACGTGGGACTGGGCAGTTCTGTCTTTTTGGGTTGGGTGCTTGGAGTAATTACACCAAACCTTTCCCAAGGGGTGAAGGAAGGAAAATATTGTCTCATTTTTATGCTGCTTTCCTGTACTCACATATCTGAAGAGATCATAACAAAGCTGCCTTGAGTATAAAGGAGAGTAAAAAAATTGATCCTGAATAAGGCCATAAATGAAAGAGTGGCATAAAACCAAGACTTTTGACAAGAGAACATCCCTGCAATATGTGAGACAGTTTCAAAAATGGACATTAATGGGACACCAACCACATGTGTTTCAGAAGGTTTGAAGTGCTTAGTCAATTACTCCTTTCCACCTGGCCCTGTTCTGGGGTGGTGGGAGACCCTCTAATATAATTTCCTTATCTTCCAAGGTGAAAAGACAGAATGGTCAGGAGTGAGGTGGCCAATTGAGCGGACCTGGGTGAACAACCTTCCCAGAAGATTCTGCTAAAAAGGTTTTTGCTTTCCAAGGGGTTGCACCCAGACCCAGGGGAATTATGGGAGTGCTACATCCCATTTCAATGGGTTTAAGCAAAAGAATGATTTGCCCCCCAAATATTTTTTAGGTCTTATCGATGCTTGAGTTTGCAAGCCAAGCCACCATTTAATTGCCACTGTTCCCTGCTGACTTGTAAAACCCTTTGAGGTTTTGGAAATAGCAGCGTAAATAGTTCAGCAAGAAGTGCCAGCCAACATTTCTGCAGAAGGGACCAAGCTGTCTTGCTAATTCGGTAAGTTAAATGACTGACTTTGTGGGGTGGAGTTTTAGCAACAGAGCTCAGATCTCCACAGAGTAGAGGGTGGGGTGGCGAGTATTGGAGTGATGGGTCTCCTTCGAAAGTGCAGGGATCCTGACCAGCTTCTGTTTGAACAAAGGCACTGCCCAGCTGGGTCTTGCTGCCATGGCACGTTGCCCAGGTTGACTGCCTTGCTCCCTGCTCTGGGTTCTTTTGTGGTGCTGGAGAGGAGAAACTGCTACAGGTCTCAAAGGGACAAAGTGATCTGGGGCAGCACTCGAAGGCTGGCTGTCCTCTGAAGCAGCAGGTCTGCAGTCTTAGAGCCAGTTTACTGAACAGACCATCACCTGATATTTTCAAGGAAGGGACTCCTCAAGATGTTCAAAACCAGGGAATTATGGCATGAATTCATTCATATAGTCTTTCATTTTGGGTTATAGTTATGAATACAATATGTTTTTTAGAAAAATTTGGCTCTCACTTTTAGGTGCCTCTGAATTTCTTAACTAAGTTTCCTCCTAAAAAGTTTTACCGTAATATAAGAAAACACCTTCTGAAGAAGAAGCAGGCTAATGTCTGCCTACTTGGTTGCTTCCAGGACTGGCACCCAGAGATCCCAACAGGAAGCCCATGGATTGAACTCAGCCTCCTTTTCAAAGGGTTAGGAGAAGTCCCTCCTTCTTTGTAACCTTATTGGGGTAAGGTATGGGGCATGTCATGGTCCTTCACTTAATTTCTTCCCTGCCTCGTGTGGGTCTCTGTGTCTATTTAGCAGCCAGAAAATTGGCATAAGAGTCCATTTGTTACAAGACTCTTTTGTGGAGTGTTTGATGGACAATGAGGGCATAAGGACTGTTAACAATACACTTCCTTGAGGTGGTAATCAATACCTGGATGTAGAGTTATGGGCAGCTCAGCAGAGTATCAGGGCAAGAGTTTCTAAGTGGATTCTGGACAGAAAAGGTTTATTTGACGTTGACTTCCTTTCTGTTAATTTAATGTCTGGGAATGTTTGGATACATCTCCACCTTTGGAATCTCTGGAAGATTCTGTTGTCTGAATCTTATCTGAGTGGCCACAAAGGGATTCAGACTCCCAGGTTGTCTTCTCCTGCCTTCAGCTTTAGTGCAGGAACTGAGTGCGAAGAGGGCAAAGAGAAGCCTCCTGATTCAGCACTTAATATAGGTGAATGTGAGGCCAGGCACCGGAAATTCTTCTTTATTCGCCTCTCCTTAACTCCCAGCAAGATGCGGTTACCAAATTGAGTAGATGGTAGACTCATTGATGGAAGGATATGGAGATACATGGAAGGCCACAAAGGTCTGGCTTTTGCCCCAGGCATTACTGGGGTTCGTGGAGATTGGGTGTGGTTGTATGTGATAGGTATGTGGCATATGGATTTTCGTGGCCTGGCCTGGCCTGACCTGTCTGCTCTTCTGCTGGCATGTCAGCAAACAGAGAGGGAAAAGGGGAGAAGAAGCTCAGTTGAAGGGTAGCTAACGAACTAGCCAGGATTGTCTGATTCAAAATTGGAAAGAGGGAAAAGGAGAGAAGGTAACACAGAACTGGCAGAGTAGAAAAATTGTAGAGTGAAGTTAAGTTAAATGAGAGCACAGAGCAGTCATCTGCTCCTGACTGGAGAAAAAGAAGAAAGGTCCATAGGTGGCTTCCCTGAAGAAAGGAAGCAAAGACCCAGAGAAATGACACCTTCATCAAAGATGAGAAGGAAGGAAGGAAAGGTCCATTGGTCATTGGTGAAGCCTTGGTCTCTGCAGAGGAATTGGGCAGAAAACCCTGAGAGAGGTTCTCACCAATGGATAATTAGCAAGTGTTTCTCTGAAGGTTTCCAGAAGAAGTCAAACCTTTGGGCAAGAGAGCCAAATCCCAGCCCGTGGCTTTCTTTTCACTCTCCCTCAATAAGCCCAGAAAAGGGCTTATTGAGAAAATAGGGATTCTCCATAGAGATGGAGAAAAAGGACGGCAGTAGGGGAGATAGAGAGGGATAGTCTCCTGGGGAAGTTAGGAGGAAACCAGTCACCACATGAAGCCTGGAAATGTGTATACCTGTTGTAAATACTTCTTGTAAATCACTTCGCTGCAAAGAGCAAAAAGCATAAGAGCCTCCACTGTCTGATTGTCTGTGTCCATTGCCACCCTTGCAAAGGAAAATTGACCTCCAGCTCAAAAAGAAACCCATCATACTTGTCAAGGTGGTTACTGAGATTTGGGGATTTTTTTTCTTTTAAATTTCTTTTTATTGTTGTAATATGTTTTTATTATGGTTTGCAGCCCAGAGGTCTGTTGGTGGTATAAATTTGTTAAACAAAGAAATAAATAATACTTTATGCATTGATGTTTCCAACTGCAGAGTGATGGTCTGCCCTAAGGTGTGCAGATGATATGATTCCTGCTTTCTACAATGCCTGTCTCAGCCCATCTACCTTCTTTCTCATGGGTGTACCTCAGCTGGAAGCGGTCCATGTATGGCTGTCCATCCCCTTTGGCTCCATGTATGTCATGGCTGTGCTGGGGAATTGCACCATCCTCTTTATCATCAAGGAAGAGCCAAGTCTCCACCAGCCCATGTATCTCTTCCTTTCCATGCTGGCTGTAACTGATTTGGTGCTTTCCTCCTCCACACTGCCCAAAATGCTAGCCATCTTCTGGTTCGACAACAAGGAGATTGGCTTCCACTCATGTCTCCTCCAGATGTTCACCATCCATTCTTTTGCCACAGTTGAATCAGGGATTTTCCTGGCTATGGCATATGACCGTTATGTGGCGATATGTACCCCCTTGAGACACAAGGCTATCTTAACCCCTTCAACTGTTGCTAAGATTGGGGTGGCTGCTGTTCTGAGGGGCTTCTTTTACATCTCACCCCTTCCTTTGCTTGTAAGAAGACTGACTCACTACCGCACCAATATCATTGCACACTCTTATTGTGAGCACATGGCTGTGGTGATGCTCTCCTGTGAGGATACCTCCATCAGCAACATCTATGGTGTGACAATTGGCTTTGTGATACTTATCATTGACTCCCTGGGCATCGGTGTATCTTATGTTTTCATCCTCCGGGCAGTGATGAATTTGGACACAGCAGAAGCCCGATTAAAATCTTTTAGCACTTGTAGCTCCCATATTTGTGCCATTTTAGCTTTCTACATCCCCATAGCAGTCTCCTCCCTGATCCATAGGTTTGGCCACCTGGTGTCTCCTCCAACTCATATCCTTTTGGCCAACTTCTATCTCATCTTTCCTCCTGTTTTAAATCCCATTGTTTACACTGTCCGGACCCAAGTAATGCAGAGGAAGTTAGTCAAGATGCTATTCTGGGCTCAGAGACCAACTAGAGGCCTTTTCTAAGCTTTTCAGAAACAGATTTTTTAAATGTGTAATGAGTCTATTGAATTAATATCAACCTGAGCAGTCCAGATGGGAATGTCAATGTCCTGACACAAGCCTGAAGGTTATTTGGGTTTGCATGGGGAGGAACGGGTTCAGCCCTGACTAGATCAAGTAGCTGAGATTATTTGGATCCCCTGGAGTTGGAGATCTGGGCACTTATCATCTTTGGTCTTGTGTGGGGTGATACTTCCCCATCAACACTGCATACAATTTAGGGATTCTCCTGGACGAGCCTATGCTTCTATGACTAAGGAGATCAACTGGTGCATCAATTATGCCTATTCTTAGTATAGGAGGCCCTTAAGATGATCATTTATGCATTAGTCAGCTCATGATTGGATTATTGCAATGGATTCTACAAGGGGCTGCCCTTGAAACCACTTAGAAGCTGCAACTGGTCCAAAATGCTCTAATGCAGGCAGTGAAATGCTCTAATGCAGGCAATGATCAGGCCATGTATCCTCTGTGCTTCATGAGCTGCAATGGTTACCATTTCAAGGTGCTGGTTATCACGTATAAAGCATCTCTGTCCCTCCCTCTCTCTCTCCCTCCCTCCCTATCTATCTATCTATCTATCTATCTATCTATCTATCTATCACCTATCTAATCATCTAATATATTTTTTCTCTCTCGTCTACCATATCTTTCTCTCCCTCTCTCTAATATCTCTAACAATGGTGACCAAGATACCCTCTTCCCCCCATTAACAGAGACCCCTCCATGCGGCACATAAATTCCTGGAGCACAGCTAGGTGTTTGATGCTTTATCAAAGGCCACCAGCATCTTTTAGCAAGATGTCGAAGACTGAGCACTCAGCATTTTCATTTAGTTGCAAACTTTTAATTAAAAAACCATTTTAATAGAAAGATGTATTATACAGTATGTATCTTGTTTTGATACGGTCTTGCTTACATTGTAAATAAAATTGAATAAAGCAAATAATAAAAGTAAAAACTTTTTATCAGCAATTTATTCTGGTCACCACATTCTGAAGTGAATTAGGATGTGAATTTCAGAGATAGTTGTCCATGTATTGCATTGTAAGAATGGCTGAATCTCATTAGAAACCAATGTCCAAATCAGATGAAGCAGTTTCCCTGACCGACTACTTGCTGAAGGCCAAAGACTCTTCCATCTCTCTGTGATCCTCCTGGCCTTTCTTGACACTGAGTTTGAGACTGTTTTGTTCAATGTTTTGTTCATTCTTTGCAATACAACTTGATGTCATTCTTGTAGAGGAGGTGGCTGATGGTAGTTCTGCTCTTGAATTTGTATCCATATCCAGTCTTTGTGATTGTCTGACTGAGAGAGACAAGACCATGCAGAACAGTGATGACAAGAATCTAAAATAAGAGGGAGGAACATTAGATGGGTGTAGGGGAGCATAGTGGTTAAAATGTGGAAGATTATATCAAGTTACAAAGCACTCTACTATGGCAAAGTAGGTGCTCCTTCAATCTAGTTTATAGCACAGATCATAATCCAAACTCATATCTGCTGCATAATTTCAACAGTCCATCAAGACACATGCATGAGGAATTGGGGAGCAGCCTTAGTCACTTATGGATTATGCAATGTGTTGATCATATAGCTGCTGATGAAAATCGCTGAAACCAATCCAGAATGCAATGGCTTGAGCAGGTACCTAGCACAGACTCTAGTTATTTGAGGGTTTCCCTCAATGTTTCGGTCCAGCGGTGAAATGTACTTACCTTCGCTACTGGTTCGGGAATGTGAGCGCCTCTTCTGCGCATGTGTAGAGGGTAAAAAACGGGACATAATGATGTCCCGGTGGGTGGGTGGATCCTCCTGCCGCTAGTGTTACCGGTTCACACCAGCTGGATAGATCCGGCCAGATTTCACCACTGTTTCGGTCTATCAAACAGAATCACCATGCTTCTGGTCCCATCCATTAAACAATACCATCTGAAGGGCTTAGGCAGTGTGTTTTCGCTGCTGCAGTACCAGCCCTTGGAAAAATATCTCACCAGAAATTCAAATGGTCCAGACCCTGCTCAACGTTTAAATGTACCTTGAAGATCTGGCTCCTTCCCCAGGCTTTGAGTAGAATGGAATATAGGCTCCCTTTGGGAAAGAGATTTTACATGTTTTCCTAATGGAGATTTGCTCCAATAGGAAGTCCATTTTGTTCTTCTGTTCTGTTTGATTCATATCTTTATTTGTAATTCTGTATGTTGTCCAGAGTCATTGAGGAGTTGGCCACCTTAGAAATGTGAATGATAGACCAACAAAACAAACATATATGAGTTGGTTCCTGCTTTCATATAGGCAAATATTTGTATAGCTCTCCTAACTAGAGAAACCTTAAAGCATCTAGAACTGCATCCAGCTTTCTGCGCCATTGGAGACGTTGCTCAGAATTCTTTCTAAAAAATTAGACAAGAGGTAATCTGAAGTTAATTCCATTTGTGGAATAAAATGTATTAAAATTACTGGTTTATGATGGTGTATTTTGAAGCTAAACTTTCTGGATTTCTAGTGATGGCTAAACAACATTTAAAATCATTTTCCTGATGCCCCAGGTTTAGGAAGTTCTCTAGAAAATCAAGATTCCAACACCTCTCTTTTATGAAAGGATGCTGTAAAAGTATCAGAAATCACTAGGCATCTATAGGGCAATACCTAATAATCAGTGAGAAATTGGGATGCACAATTTAAGCAAAGAAGGAAGCTATTTGAAGATGCTCCCAGCAATGGGGCACCTCCCATATCTACTAAGCCAGAAAATGTTGTCTGGAGCAAGGAGAATGTCATGGAGGACTGCCATGATGTGACTATCCAAGAAATTAGTATTCAGCGTCAGCAGCGTGCACAGAATTTTATATGAAATTTACAGCTGAGGAGGGTCAGTACAATGGGTGCTAGGGCCAGAAATGAAAAGGAATGGATACCATGATCTATTACAACTCCATAACAAAAACTCAGCCTGTACAGTAGTGCCATAATTGGAAGGAGCCCCTGAAAAAGCCAAGTTGACAAAGTAGTGGTTACTGCTTTTGGGGGACGGGGGGAATTGTAAAGATGTGATTCTTACCAACTATTTGAAACAAGGAACCATCATTGATGCCCCATATTCCAGCACTTTGCTTCATGAGCTGAGAAAGTTTTTGGCTGAAATCGAATGTTGCACCGCCGCCAACTCTTGCATCATGACAATGCCAGACACCACACAGCTCATCTTATAGAAACCATGATTGCTGATCTCTAATGGAACCTGCTCACCATATCTAATAACTAGTGATAATCACCTGTTTGGAGGAGTGGAAAAGTTCTTCTGTGGAGGACATTTTGTCACTTTGGAAGATCTGAAGAAGGATGTCAATGAATGGATCAAAATAATTCCTAAAGAATTCTATAATTCTAGTCTTAGTAAATTTAGTAAACTGACACAGTCAAAAATGCATTTTATGGTTGGGTATATGCTTTTTAAAAAAATAATGTTAGAAATTATGAAGTAAAGTTGGTATATATATTTTTTCCTTAGGGTTCCCATAGCCAAACTAATATCCAACAGGCTACTAGAAAATTATACCATTTAGGAAAAGGTTGCCAAAGTCTTGCAAGTTGAAACAGTTACAACAACAAAACTGTTTCTCCTGCAATTCACTTAGTCCTCATTCATCCCCTGGCTCATTTTCCTCCTCCATATCTGTTATTTCTGCTATTCTCACCTCAGAAAATCTGCTCAGTGCCATAAGGCTTACTGAAACTGTCTCCACCTCAGTTTGCTTGAGGCATCATTTTACCCTTTTGAATAGCTGAAGGAGTCTACTTTTAACCCACCAATGCTGTCACTTTTCTATTTCAAAGAGCGATGCCATTTGATTTATCCCTCTGCCCACTGCCCAATATAGATCTGCACAGCTCATGACCGCTTAAGTGCAGTAAGCTTTTTCCAGCCTTCAGGCCACCTTCCAAGGCAGGGCGACAGGTTTAGCTCTGAGTGAGGATCAACGGCTCTTGGTTTGACATACCCCTCTCACTGTGAGATGTGGGAAGGAGATTCAATTACCAGCCAGTCAAGCATCATGATTGAAAAAAATGGAACATACTGCAACTTAATTATGAGCAAAATGAATTAGTGAAACATTCAAAGACTTTTTACTTCAGAAAAGTTTTAATTTCTGCCACCCCTGTGCCACCACTTAAATTGTACCTATTTAGTGGAAAGGTCAATCAGTAAGATTACCAGCATTATGTTACTAACATGGACATTTTTAAAAATATATTTTTAAAGTACATTTTATTAACAGGGGGGAAATGAAAATGTGCAAATATCACCAATGAGCAATTATCTGCAAGCCTTTCATCCATTTTGAGAGGTTGCAGTCTTGAAAATATCTTTTTCCCATTCCTAATGCTAAATTTTCTGCAATTCTGAAATCATCTAATTGACCTCTGAGGTCTGAATTAAATGTGATGTACGTAGCCTGGTATGGAGAAACAACAGAGAGAGATTCCAAAAGGGGGAAAAATGTTTTGCAGCTATTTCAGTAGAAGTAAATCTGTGCCCATGCTCTCAAATGCGACTTTAGTGATAACTCCTTGTCCCAAAATATCACTTCACAGAACACAATTGGCACCTTATAATTCATGCTAGTGCTGTTCCTGGAAATAATTGCTGCTATAAGACTTACTTATAGACAGATACCATAGCACATGTGCTTTTAAAACAGCTGTTGCTTTTGAGGTTTCTCTCATTTTGTTTTTTTATCCATCTTCTCACTTGCAAAACTTGGGAACTTCATTTTCATAAACAGACAAAGATTCTCATACATCTACAGTGAACTCCTAGCACACTGTTTCATGCCAATTTCATCAGCATTTGGTGCCAAACAAAACCATTTTTGCTGTCCCACATTTTATATCTTTCAAGATTTTTTTAAAATGATGGCTTGCTTCTGGTCTTTCCAAAGCCCAAATGAAAGCTACCTTGAAGGTAAAGTGCTTAATTAGTGAAGGAATGTGTGTTGCTCATAAACTCCTTGCTAGATTCTCAGCATAAAATCAAACAAATAACCAAATTGATTTTCAGATAAAATCAAACAAATTTAGTGCAAACCCAATTAATAAAAGGCCTTTAAAACTATTGACTTATATATTCAAATTCTGCTATCTTAAATTCATGTTTTTAATAATATATGAAGAGGCAGAGTGATACTCCTGAAATTTGAGAAAGGTCTGTGAGTCTTTGAACTTTCTGTGGTGATTTTTACCTATCACTTAACG